AGAAAGAAAGAAAGAAAGAAAGAAAGAAAGAAAGAAAGAAAAGCAGCAGCTGGAGCTCTCCTGACAACCTGCTGGCAGCCCTTGAGGTAGGCTTGGGCTGGGCAGGGGGGGATAGCAATGCCACCTGAGATGGCATCTAGAAGGGGATGCCAAGAGCTGGGCAATGGGAAGCAGGGAGAGGAGGAGGAGGAGGAGGAGGAGGAGGAGGTAGTGATGATGATGATGATGATGGTGATGGTGATGATGTTGGAGCATCCCTGCTGCCTTCAGAGCCTTTTGTGTCCGGATTCTAGGGTTACACATCTCTCTCTCTCTCTCTTTCTCTTTCTTTCTCTGGGCAGCCCTGCCCTGCCTTCTTCCAGGAGGAGAGGAGGGTGCCAGCCTTGCTGGGTGGGTGTGGGAGGATGAGGAGGCTGCCATGGCTGGCAGTGAGCAGAGAGAGAGAGAGAGGGAGAGAGAGAGAGAGAAAGAAAGAAAGGGGAGGGTGCCATGGTGCCAGCCTGGGTGGGATGGAAATCGCCCTCTCTCTTTATTATTGCAAGCATGGGCAGAGCTGGCAAAGAAAGATCGCCTTTCCTCTGTGCCTGGAATGGAGACACACGTTGCTCTGTGTGTGTATGGGTGTGTATGTATGTATATGTATGCATAGACTCACCTGCCTGCTCTAGGAGTCCAAACCCTCACAAAGGCACATGCTCACAAAGGCACATGCAAGCCCCCCTTGGGCAAAAGACACCCTTTTCCAAAGAGGTAGGCTGCTGTGTCTGTAGGGATGATGGGTGGTTGGGAGCACATGTGTGGTTGTGGCTTGAGCACACATCCTCACACCCACACTGGCCTGCATTGGAGGAGGAGGGTAGATGGGTGGATGGGCCTCCAAGAACTGAATTTGCAGCCCAGATAGGGAGGGTGTGTCCCCTGTGGTCTTCAGGACCAAGGCATGGTGGAAAAACAAAGAGATTTTGAAACTGAATCTGTCTCTAATTAGCAAAAAACATGAAACAAAAACATACATTAGTATCAATGTAACACCACATATTTACATACAAAGCTACAGCTAGACATAGAACACAATCTAGCAAGGGATGCTATCATGTAACATAACAAATAAGGGACAACTTCCTTCCCAGCTGGAAAATAAATAAGAAAACAAATGATAAATAAATCTTCTAAAAGAAACTGGATGTGTGTGTGTGTGTTGTGCGATGACCTTGTCATTTGGGATGGGGGGGAGAAAAAATAGAAGGGGGGGAAAATACCATTTCCCCTCATATCTAATAAAGCTATGCCCTATTTTAAGACACACTGATGGAGAAACATAAGTACTTGTGAATGGCAGGGTATTTATTCCAGTTTGATTGGACCTCTTTCTTTCTTTCTTCGATGGTGCACATGGCTGATATGAAAACCAATGTTAAAGTATCCCATAAGTTGGCATAAAAACAGAAATAGTACCTTAGGCCAAACTGACGTAGCCCAACTACAGGAATATTGTTAGTAAGTCTTTGGGCAGACAAGTCATTTTCATACAAGCAAATATGTCTCCTGTGTTGTTGTTTTTAATGAACTTTTGCACAATAGAAGGTAAAATCCTACCGACTAGCACATAAATTGCACATAGATTTAAAACACTATTACTTACTCAATGGCTTACTCAAAAACTCTCTGTATTCACAATAACTGTGTATAGCTTTGCAACCTTAAACCAAATTAGATTATTTTTGAGCCAACACAATTTTTTTTAAAAAAAATCTAATAGCAGGAAAAAGATGATTTAAAATGCAAACTGCAAGTAAGTTGTTTTAAAGCTAGAGAATCAAGTTTTCTCCAGGAGTCAAATATTGCACAGGAGCTCAGTCTAAGAATAGAATTGCACATTGAGAGAGAGAGAGAGAGAGAGAGAGTAGACATTAGGCAGGAAATATTGGAGACTTGCCAAATAAATCAATAGAAGATAACACCAAACCTCTTTGATTATGCTGAATTAAGCTTCCAAGGTTAATGGAGCGCCCAAGCTTATTTTTGCCATTGTTTATATGAAAGGTAAAAGTACTTGTAGTTGTTTGCTACTTTCTTTGTCTGACTCCTTGCACATTACCTAAATGCTACAGGATGAATTCTTTTGGATTTTAAGACATTTTTGGAA